GTGCGAAGAGCTTGTGTATGTTAATGTTAGAAAGTATCGTTCTAAACATGGGATAATGAACAAGTTAATCGAGCCTCTTTGCGAAAAATGGTAAACATAAATGCTAGAAATTGAAAATTATTAATCATGTTGATTTACGCGAGATTGCTAGATGATTTTTCACTGTTTTTGTAGCTTCTGTTGAGAGAAGAGCTTCCTTCTATGGACGACCTAATTATTCAGGCATTAGTGGGTATTTGATAAACGAGTAGCACACTGATGATTAATGAAACTCGCTAGTTAACCTAATCGTAGAACTTATCCTAACCTAACCATAAATATCAACTCTTCCATAATAAAGTGATTACCTACTTAAGGAAAATATTAGATCTCATCAGAAGGATGCAATAATTATGTATAAAATGCACATCAATGTACCGCCAAAAAGTTTGGCTTCACTTTTATCATCTCCGATTTATGGGAAGAATATGAAGCACAAAATATATTGTAGAATATAGTTCGCTATTTCATGTTCCTTTTCTACTGCGTTATCATGTCCAGCTTTTATTTTAGTACAAACAGTAACATTTCATTACTCTTTCGTTTCCCATTTGAAATTTTCTTAATTCAATAAATCTTCAAAATCGTAATGAACCATAATGAACTTTCCAGAATCGTAACTTTATACATCATCCAAATGTCAACCAACAAACCAAATACTACCGACAAAATACTAATGACAGAAAGTTACGAAGTTCTCGGTCTTCCAGTCAAAGAGTCTGTTCGTAATAGAGCTTTTCATCTGACGCAACAAGGGTTGCAATTACTTCATTGTGTTTTTCATCTTCCATCGCCATGAAGAGAAATCCCCATGGCGGTTGCGGTGCAGAGTAACCGCGACCTTGGGAGACACGTAGTGCAGAATTTCGTGCACGCGATACGCGCCGGGAAGCAGAAAGCCAGGTGCTCATCAGAGCGTGTGCGGTTGATGGTAATGAACTTTCGCGAGGCAAGGCCGCCGGGATGATTTCATAACGCGCGCGCAATGCCTTTGCTCTCGCTCGCCTGACCAACCTCCACAAACTCTCTCTCTGTCTCTATCTCTGTCTCTGTCTCTCTCTCTCTCTCTCTCTCTGGCTCTCTCCTCTTTTCCTCTTCCGAGACCGCAACAGCTCGTTGTACGAGCCGTTGAACACACGCTCGACCGAGAGGGAAAGAGAATCATAAGACTCGGCAATAAAAAGCTCGATCGAAGGAGCGAGTAAGAGCTAAATAACCGGAGAACATTGACTTATATAATGAATCGTGCGTCTCTGAGGATGAATAAGAGCTCGGCCTCGATTACCGTTCCTACGAGAACGTATGAATTTTTTCCTCGCCGCACGAGGCGAGATCGCCATTATTGTTCAGAGATAATTCAAAGGCCGTCTGTTTGTCCTTGGTTAATTACATGCAATGCAATTCCGTGGTCGAAGAACCTGTACGTGGAACGAAACGACCGGAACTTTCCTTCTTCGATAAGCATATGTACTTTGCAAGTATCTCAATTAATTTATATTAGTTTCTTGATCGAACTGTTACATATTAATGATAAATTAATAAATAGAGGCAGCAACGACTTTTTTTTATAGATTACAGATTGAAATGAAATATTATTGTTGTTAGAGTTCATCTTTCCGGGAACAGAAATATCTTTGACAGTCAATAATCCCGTTACTCCGTCAATTTATTCCACTTAATTCGATCGACTCTTTAAATCGATCAGGATCGAACCACTGGACAAACGGGTTACTTTTTTCGATCTTCTGCATGAAAATTGAATACAGAAGAAATTCACAACGAAAAGAACCGGTTCTCCGATATCTTTCGCCCTGCTGAGCGAACAAATTGTTTATCCCAACAATACAAAAACTTTCTTTGTGGCACTTGTCGTCTCTTCGTCCATTTATATGGCCGGATAATGTCAGTAAGCAGAGACAATGTAACGGGTCCTCGACAGACGTTCATCTAGGTTCTTGCAAATGCGGAGAAAAAAACCGGGCACAGTTGCCGTAAATTTGCTCGTTCATCGGTTGTCCGTTCCTGTTGAATGAATACAGAGTGATCCAAGATTGTAATCTCGTGCGACACGCCGACACCTCGATGAAGCCTTACTTGCTGGCAAGGGCCGAACGAGCCGTAATAATTTAGCACGGCCATCGTGCAAGACAAGAATCGTCTCGATGGAGCAACTTATATATAGTATGTATATGTAGATATATATGTATACGCGTAGTACGTGCTGGGTCCGTGTAACGTGGAGGCACGCGGCTGGGATCCGTTCGTGGGACTCGCGACAGAGACACGGATGGCCCTTCCATTCACAGACCACGGTGTGCTTCCCAGTACAATTCAATTCGCTGGAAACCGACGCCTGCTGCACGCTCCGCACAGCGCTGGAATGCTGATTCTCGAATATGCCTTGGCTTGCCGAGCAAAGCACGTAGGATGGAAACGCGAATCTTCTACCGTGGCTGGCCGGGAACACCGTGCGGAAACGCACACGCCGCGCATTTCAACCTCGCGCCTTCGAGTCGCGGATCGACTTCCGATCAAGCGGTCTCCACGTCGTAGTGCTCGTCAGCTGGAATATAGGTTTTTTGGTCGAATCTGGAACGAAATATGATCTGATTCATTGTGAAATAGAAAGGAAAATTTTTGTATAAAGAAAATCATCTGCATTCGTTACGTTCTTTCGGAGTGAGCGCATCTTAACGATGAATGGAATAATGTAATAATAGAGTTTATGGAACATGGAAATTTAAATAAAAATGGATTGAACGAGCATACAATTTCATTCATGTTAGAAAAGTTATACTAATGCAGCAATTGTTTTCTATTTTTTTAGATATATAAGATTTGTAAATGTTTAAAGAACTATTACATCTTTTAGGTCTATTATGTTCTAAAGAAGTTCTAAAATAAATGTCAATGTTTGAAAGGAAGCTTGAAATTAATTTGAATTTCAACGTTTCGAAGATACGTCATATGATCAATATTCAATGAAATATTGTCTGTCGAAGAAAGATTCCACTTCGCACTAATCAGGTCTATTCGACTCCAGTCTCTGAGACGATGGTATTAAAATTTATCAAGGTAGTCGATTTGAAAAAAAGGAGATCGTAATATGAGCCATAAAAGAGTTCGCGAAGCATCTTCAGCGCCATATAATAAATCTGCCAGCACGGTTCGTTCAATGAAGGGATCATGCTGGACATTCGAATCCTTCGCCTCGCAATGCACGTATCCGCGTACGGAGACGTTTTGTGCATTTCAAAGAGTTCCTGGACGGTTTTCAAAGAAAAAAGTACAAGCAGAGACTTTCGAAAAGAGGACGGCGCGTCATTTGCGAATTCGTACATTCTCCACATTCACGTCAGTAGCTTATGAAACAAGTATCTCGAAATCAAAGTACACACACAGAATAGATAGAGAATAGAATCACCATTATTGAAATATTAGAAACATTCGCAGTTGAAAAACTGTATAGCACAAAAATATTCTAATAAAGATTTATAACAATAAATTCTGAAAATATTCTGAAATGTGAAACGATCACAGAAAGAAACAATTATTCCTCTATTCAGCCTATTGTATCTTTATTAATCTCGATACAAATTTTAAGGAATTTAATTTTCAGAAAAACCACCTATCTAATATTAAATAGTAAAATCCTGTATCAAAAGACTTCTGTCTTTCCGTTCTATCTAAAGTCTCTTGCAACTAGTTCCGCCAATAATAGCTTCGTACATTCCAAATTCTTTCGTAACCAATATCCAACTTTCATTCTAAGAAAATCTGGCTTCGTTGAAATTCGCAATAAACGCGAGTCGAAGACGTAAACCGGAAAAAGAGAACATCCTAGAAAGAGAAGATCCTATCGGCGAATAGAGAGGCTTATTGTTCGAGTAGGAAGAATGGCGAGAAGCGATTGTACCTTGCAAAGGGTGGCGTGTCGCGTTTCACAAACAATCGAACTCTCGAGTCGCGCGCGCAGCACTTCAATTCCGAAGAAATTGCGAAAACGACGCCGTGTAAGGCGAACGATAAAGACGAAACGAAAGCGAAAGATAGAGATAGAACGAAGCTTGTGCACGTGCGTTTCTACTATGGATTCGTCGACGGTGAAAACTAGCAAGGATATAAGGATAAACGAATGGCAAAGACAGAGCAAGAGATAGAGTGAAAAAAATAAAAGAATTCTGTATTCCATGCACACTCGGCATACAATTCGTTCGACTGGGGCGAGGGTGTTAACGAGAATTCGCCCACGTACGCTCGCGCCATATGACGCTTTGACTCACTCCGTTGTTAAAGCCCGGCTCACCCTCCGGACAAACGCATCCCGCCGGTAATTACTATGATAAACTGCATGCAGAGACACGACTCGTCTCCCTATGAAATTTCATGGGAAATAGAGTTCCTTAGATTATTTAGCCTCGTACATACGCTATTTCAACGTTGGAATTTCCATAATGAATTCCAGGAAATGAATATTATTTTCGTGCTATGCACAACTCTGTTTATAAGTATTTCCATGCGTCTGGAAAAATTAAGAAAAATCTGAGAAATCATTAAGGAATTATTAAAATGTTTAAAAATTGAAGAGTTCGATACGAGTAGAAAGATATATATTTTGTTAATTTTGATAAATTGATCGATAATTTGAGCGAAATATGTAAATATAGAAACAAAGTTAATATTTGGTACGGGATTTACACACTTTTCCACTAAATCAATTATTTCCTATTTACATGTTTGGCGCGCGTACTATTTATAATTTAAGCGCTGCAAGTATTATCACCTTTGAAATCTTAGAGTATTTTTAATATAGCTCTCAAATCAAAGAACTGTGGGAACTAAGTTGAACTATAAATACAAACTCCTGCTAATAATTTGTGTGAATTATTACGTTTGAATAGGAAATCATTGGATCATATAGTGAGAATATGAAATGAAATGTATATATTTTTCTGTTACAGCGCCTGTATATGACCAGGATAGCACACAAGTAGCAGAATACGATGGAGGTACGTACGCCGTGACGACTTTCATTACTCCTAATCTAATCAATGTACACGCACGTTACCGACGACGTGAGGTTAATTGTAGCTTCTATCGGAGTGGAACAGACAACACGTGCCATTTTAACGATTCAATTCTTTCAATGAATATTAAGAACGTCGTGCACCGTTTTAACCTTCAATATCACATATTCACATAACTCTGTAATGCATATTCTTTAATAGAATGCAATCTTTCATTCTCTTTAAACTAATTAGAAAAATTCAATTATTCTCTTTAAATCCAGTTCAACTCAAAAAATTTAATCTCTATATAAATTTAAAAGAAAAACACAAATAAGTGTTCCAAATAATTTTGTTAATTTACAGCCACAGCTGGATGCTACTATAACTTTCAACACTATGCGGAGGGCGATAGAATCATAACGAACGAGCCATGCCTGAATTGCACGTGTCACAATCGAATGCTGATGTGTTACTTGAGGGTTTGTCCCTTCACCAAGGCGATTGGTCAAGACTGCACGGTTGAAAAACGCCCGGATCAGTGTTGTCCTGTCATCACCTGCCCAGAAGTGCCGGTACAACTGTTGACCTCGACTACTAGCGCGCCAGCAATTTCCGGTTCTACGGCGGTCGGTTTCCACGACAATTATGGATGTAATGTTGACGATCGGTTCTACGCGGATGGTGCCCAATTACCCACCGACCCTCAGAATCCTTGCGAACTCTGCTACTGTATCAGGAATAGGACTACTTGCGTCATGCAGGAGTGTACTTTACGTGTCGCTGGATGCAAGCCTGTTTATCAACCGGGAATTTGTTGTCCTGTCAAATATAATTGCGGTAAGTTTCTTGTAAACGGCATTAAACAGCGAAACATTGTGATAAAAAAAATGTGAATTTTTGTTACACCATGTTACTTGCGTTATGAAAGAAACGTAAGATATCGACAAAATTTTGAAAAGCACTAATCCTCCCAAAGCGTTTTCGTCGACTATGTAAACTATAAACTCTAACTAAGCTTACTTGAAAATTTTCTCCCTTCATTTTTTTTATTTAATTGATACAATAAGATTATTTGTATAGTAAAGATTCGCTAATTGTATTGATCAAGATTAATTTCCGTATATGTTTCATTTGGATTATAACTGTAAATCTTCAACAGAATACGACGAGGAACTCGCCACGACGGTTGAACCAACGCCCGGTCTAATTATGACTACCACGATAGCCCCAGGAGCAACACCGCAGTGCTACCACGAAGGAAAAGTTTACGAGGACGGTGACTTGATCTACTCGACCCAGCCCTGTCAGCATTGCTATTGTTTCCGCGGTGACATCGCATGCGCTGTGCAAGATTGCGGAACACCGATGAAAACTCATGGAAAGAATTGCACAGCCTTGCCACCGCCGGAAGGAGAGTGTTGCCCGACCACGTATCAGTGTGGTAAGAAACAACTTCCTTTATTACACTGCTTAAACGCAGCGAACATTCCAACGTTCGCGAAACTAGTTCTATATAAACGTTCTTTATTGCATAGAAGAAGATGGACATGGTGGATTGGTTACATTACCTAGAGGTGAGGAATCGTCTACCGAGGAGCGCGTTCCAGAAACCACAGCTGCAACTGTGACAACAGCTGAGAAAGAAGCACTGCATCCATCCACAGAAGCAGAAGAGACCTTCCCAGGTTCTGACAACGTCATTCCTCAAGATCACGAAATTGTAACCTCTCAAGCGCCAGTTGAAAACGCGCCATCTACAGAAGAACCCAAAAAAGAAGAAGTTCCTTCTCTGGAAGAAACCGCTGCTCCAGAAACTCCAACAACTCAAAAAGAAACTGAAGATACGGTAGCAGTGACAGAAGCATCTAGCGCAGCACCAAAATTAACCGAATCTCCCGAGGGAGCAAAAGCCGAAGCGACGGAAGCACCATCAGTAGAAGAAAAGGGCGAAGAAGTGGCCACTACACCTGCAGAAGAAACTACTCAAGAAGTCACCGAAATATCAGTTCCAAAAGAAGTACCAGAATCGTCACCAAAACTGGAGACTACACCGCAAGAGGTAACTACGGCAAGAGGGGAAGAAAGACCAGAGGTAGTTACTGAACAAGCAATGCCAGAAGAAACACAAACTGAAAGTAAAGTGCCTGAGGAAGCACAATCCGAATTGCCAAGCGAAGAGAAACCAACGAAAGAAAGTGTGACTGTTTCGGAGAAAGAGCCAAGTGTTACTGAAGAGACAGTACCTACAGAGGAGCATCCAGTGGAGGAAGCTAAGATGCCTACGCAAGCACCAGAGTTTCCAAGCGAAGCACCAGAAGTTCTCAGCGAAGAAAAGGGAACATCTCCAGTTTATGAAGCAGAAGCGACAACAGTTAAAACATTGGGCGAAGGGGAAGTAACTGAAGCAGTCAAAACGACTAAATCTCCTGCCACTGAATCAGAACAGGGACTGTCTACAGAGGCACCCATTGAAGAGAAACCAGAAGAAGCCGCAACGCCTGAGACTGAAATAACAACTGAGAAACCTATTGAAGAGGTTCCAAGCACAGAACAAGCTCCCCAAAAACCTGAGCAAGTTCTCGAAGAAGAAAAGGAGAAACCAATGGAAGTGAGCACGGAGCAATTACCTACAGAAGTGCCTGCAGCGCCGGTAGAACACGGTATAGAAGCAATACCTACAGAAGTTCCAGTGGAACAGAAAACAGAACCACCAATATTTGGACACAAGGTTCCTGAAATGCCTGGTCTGGCTCCCAAGAAGGAAGATATGATTCCTCCTGAAGTACCGGAAACTAGTGAGCATCCAGCTGTAACAGAAGAGTACCACATGGAAGAGGGAACTCCTGTAATTCCAGAACGTGGTCCACCAGGTATCTCGATTACGGAACGTGTACCAGAGAGCAAGGCAGAAGATAAGGATGCAGTAACCGAAATTTACGTTACGGAAGGTTATGTTGACATGAAGCCACCAGAATTCCATGTACCAAGCAGTCTCGTAACTGAAGCACCTGAGCAGAAAGGTTCGTCCATGTATGTACCTACAATTCACGAAACAACAATTGCTCCTAAACAAGAAGCTGTTCCTATAGAAGAAGGAACTACAGTGGAAGCGCAATTGCCCGAAGAAACGCCTTCGTCCACTTCGATTGCGCCAGAGAAGGCTATAGAAGGTGTTCCTCCGGCTACGGAAGCTGGTGAAGTTCCGGGTGAAGAGAAAGAGGTAGCAGAAGCTGCTGCGAAAGGCACTGAATCTAGCCCTGCAACAGAGATTTCAACATCAGCCCCGGAAATTCCAGAGGAAGTACCACAAGAAACTGAAAGACCTAGTTTGCCAGATGAACAAAGTACGGAGACATCGTCTTCCGAAGTTTCACCGACAAAAGAGTCTTCTGAAGAACAAGAGTTACCGACAAAGGGACTGACTATTGAAGAATCTGGAGAAACCTCTTCCGAAGAAGTGAACGATTCAAGTGAAGAAATTACTGCTTCCAAAGAGAAACCGGCTGAAGAAGCCGAGAAAGCACCTCAAGAACACGTATTTGAAATATCGGTTCCAACTCCAGCTATAACAGAAGAATATCCAACTGAGCAACCAGCCATCGAAGAGCAAACCGTAGAAACTGAGAAAATAAGTACAGAAGTCAACGCAGTTCCGGAGGAGAAACCTGCTACAGAACAAGAAGAACAAGGTACTGTTGCGCCGGAAGAAGCTTTGCCAAGCGAAAAGCCTGGTATAATTTCGGGAGCTCCTGAAGAACAGGCTACTGAGAAACCAATTACTGAAGAGGAATCTCCAGTTACTAAGGAAGCTGAGGACAAAACAATAAGTATAACACAAATACCCCCCAGCGAGGGTGAGCGACCTGAAGCAAGTGAAAAACCTGTCGTTGAAGAAATGCCAAAAGAAGCAACGATTTCAGAACTCGAAGGTTCACCAGTAACTCAGGAAACGACGGAGGCTGGAGAACCAACGGAAGGCACTCTAACAGTTACAGGTCACCCAACCATGGAGCCAGAAGAACAGAAAACAGAAGCACCAGAGGTTAGTGAACAACCAGCTATTCAACAAACTGAAGCACCGATAACCAAAGAAACATCATCGGAAGGAATAGTGCAAGAAGAACAAAAAACGGAGCAGCCAACGAAGGAAGAGGGTCCAACTGAAGGACCAGTGACTCCATCTTCGACAGAGGAATCAATGACTGAAGAATTAGCAAAGGAAGGAACACAAATTCCTATAGAGGCGCATCAGCCAACTAAACCTCCTATTACTGAACGTAAAGAAGATGAAATGGGTGCAGAAAAGTTGCCTGAGCTGGAAAAAGGCGTTCAGAAGCCATCTCTTGAAGAAGAGAAGCCAACTGGAAAGCCTGTAGAAGAAGAAGAAACTGCTGTGGCAGGAGAAGCTCAAATAACTGAAAAACCCCTTGAAGATCATAAACCTGTTGAGAAACAACCAATCGAGGGATCCGCAGAAGGAGAACAACCAGCGGAAGAAGAGAAACCAACTGAAGAATCTGTTGAACAAAAACCTGAAGAAGAAGAGAAGACAAGTGAAGAAAAACCAGAGGAAGAAGGAAAGACAGTGGAAGAGGAGAAACCAACTGAAGGACCTGCTTTAGAGAAAAAACCATCTGAAGACAACGTTGCAGAGGAGAAACCAACCGAAGGTCCTATTGCAGAGGAAACATCAACTGAAGGACCTGCTGCAGGAGAGAAACCAACTGAAGGACCTGTTGCAGAGGAAAAACCAACTGAAGAAGCTGTTGTCGAGGAGAAACCAACTGAAGGTCCCGTTGCAGAGGAAGTACCAACTGAAGGACCTGTTGCAGAGGAAAAACCAACTGAAGAGCCTGTTGCAGAGGAAAAATCAACCGAAGGGCCTGTTGCAGAGGAAAAGCCAACTGAAGGACCTGTTGCAGAAGAAAAACCAACTGAAGGACCTGCTGTACAGGAAAAACCAACTGAAGAGCCTGTTGCAGAGGAAAAATCAACCGAAGGGCTTGTTGCAGAAGAAAAACCAACTGAAGAGCCTGCTGTAGAAGAAAAACCAACTGAAGAGCGTGTTGCAGAGGGAAAACACACTGAAGCACCTGCTACAGAAGAGAAACCAACTGAAGGACCTGCTGTAGAGGAGAAACCAACTGAAGGACTTGTTGCAGAGGAAAAACCAACTGAAGGGGCTGTTGCAGAGGAGAAACCATCTGAAGCGCCTGTTGCAGAGGAGAAACCAACTGAAGGACCTGCGGTAGAGGAAATACCAACTGAAGGGCCTGTTGCGGAGGAGAAACCAACTGAAGGTCCTGGTGTAGAGGAGAAACCAACTGAAGGACCTGTTTCAGAGGAAAAACCAACTGAAGGGGCTGTTGCAGAGGAGAAACCATCTGAAGCGCCTGTTGCAGAGGAGAAACCAACTGAAGGACCTGCTGTAGAAGAAAAACCAGCTGAAGGACCTGCTGCAGAGGAGAAACCAACTGAAGGACCTACTGGAGAGGAAAAACCAACTGAAGGACCTACTGTAGAGGAAAAACCAACTGAAGGACCTGTTGCAGAGGAGAGACCAACTGAAGGATCTACTGTAGAAGAAAAACCAACTGAAGGACCTACTGTAGAGGAGAAACTAACTGAAGGAGCTACTGTAGAGGAAAAACCAACTGAAGGACCTGCTGTAGAGAAAAAAGCAACTGAAGGGCCTGTTGCAGAGGAGAGACCGGAAAAATCAACTGAAGGTCCTGGTGTAGAGGAGAAACCAACTGAAGGACCTGCCGGAGAGGAAAAACCAACTGAAGGACCTGAAGGACCTACTGTAGAGGAAAAACCAACTGAAGGACCTACTGTAGAGGAAAAACCAACTGAAGGTCCTGGTGTAGAGGAGAAACCAACTGAAGGTCCTGGTGTAGAGGAGAAACCAACTGAAGGTCCTGGTGTAGAGGAGAAACCAACTGAAGGTCCTGGTGTAGAGGAGAAACCAACTGAAGGTCCTGGTGTAGAGGAGAAACCAACTGAAGGTCCTGGTGTAGAGGAGAAACCAACTGAAGGTCCTGGTGTAGAGGAGAAACCAACTGAAGGTCCTGGTGTAGAGGAGAAACCAACTGAAGGATCTGTTGCAGAGGAGAAACCAACTGAAGGACCTGCTGTAGAAGAAAAACCAGCTGAAGGACCTGCTGCAGAGGAAAAACCAACTGAAGGAGCTACTGTAGAGGAAAAACCAACTGAAGGACCTGCTGTAGAGAAAAAAGCAACTGAAGGGCCTGTTGCAGAGGAGAGACCAACTGAAGGATCTGCTGTAGAGGAAAAACCAACTGAAGGACCTGTTGTGGAAGAGAAACCAACCGAAGGGCCTATTGCAGAGGAGAAACCATCCGAAGGGCCTATTGCAGAGGAGAAACCATCCGAAGAGCCTATTGCAGAGGAGAAACCATCCGAAGGACCTGCTGTAGAGGAAAAACCAACTGAAGGGCCTATTGCAGAGGAAAAACCAACCGAAGGGCCTATTGCAGAGAAAAAAGCAACCGAAGGTCCTACTGCAGAGGAAAAACCAACTGAAGGACCTACTGTAGAGGAGAAACTAACTGAAGGTCCTGTTGCAGAGGAAAAACCAACTGAAGGACCTGTTGTAGTGGAAGAACCAACTGAAGGACTTGTTGCAGAGGAGAAACCATCTGAGGGGCCTGCTGCAGAGGAGAAAGCAACTGAAGGACCTGTTGTAGAGGAAAAACCAACTGAAGGGCTTGTTGTAGAGGAAAATCCAACTGAAGAACCTGTTGCAGGAGAAAAGCCAAGTGAAGGACCTGCTGTAGAGGAAAAACCATCTGAAGGGCCTGCTGTAGAGGAAAAACCATCTGAAGGGCCTGTTACAGCGGAGAAACCATCTGAAGGACCTGCTGTAGAGGAAGAAGTAACTGAAGGACCTGTTGCAGAGAAAAAGCCAACGGAAGGACCTATTTCAGAGGAAAATCAAACTGAAGGGGTTGTAGAAGAGAAACCAAGTGAAGCCACTCCTTCTCAGGAAACTGTACCAGTATCTGTAGAAATTCCAACTGAAATTCCAATCGAAAAGAAACCTTTTGAAACTCCTGAGACAGCACCTACGGAAGTTCCTAGTGTAGAAGAAACTTCTAGTTCGTCTGCTCCGAAAGAGGTACCTGAAGTGTTGACAGAACTTCCAGAACAAAGTTCAGAAGCTGCCATCACCACAGCTACGGAAGAAGTTTCGCACACCGAGGAGGCACAAACAGTGTCACAAGAGCAAACAACAAAAAGTCCCACTATTCACGAAGGAGCTTCTACGGAACCAACTATACAAGCTTCAGAGCAGCCTACCGAGGAAGAAAAACTACCAGAAGAAATCACTCAAAAACCAGAATTACCTGCTGAAGCATCAACAGCAACTATTCAAAGTGAAACAACCGAGCAAGAAGCTAAAGTGCCTGAGGTTGGTATCATGACTGAAACCCCTGAAGTCTCACCGGTTGAACCTGGAGCTGTTAAGACAACAGCAGCACCACCTGAAGAAACGAAATTACCAGAAGAGGAACAGAAAGTATCTATTCCAGAAATAGCTCAAACTGAAACTCCATTGAAAGAAGAGGGAACGACTCAGGCTTCTCAAAAGAAGGAGTCAGAGGCTCCTATTACGGAAGAAAAAGTTCCAGGTGTATCGCTTGCAACACCCAAAGAAGAAGAAATTCAGGAGACCACACCTTATGCAGAAATAGCGCCGAAGGCTACAACTGAACAAATAGCCGAACAATCCACTCTAGCTGAAACAATTCCAGAAAAAGGACTATCCACAGAAGCTCCTTATATACCACCAGCAATTCCAGGAGAAGGCAATTGTCTCGTCGAAGGACAATCTTACAGCAACAACTCTATAATTCCTCCAGCCAATCCTTGTCAACTTCAATGTCGTTGCATCAGTAGCATCATTCAATGCGACCTTGTTCAATGCCCACCGCCTCCCAATCATTTATCGAACTGTATGCCAATTTATACTAGCAAGGATGCCTGCTGCCCGATGTACACCTGTGACTCGACGCCTACAGCAGGGTTAGAGTCCGATAATCATATGATCGAACACGAAACGCCTAAATACGAAGAAGAACAGAAAACTGTATCACCGACAGCTGAAGTTCCAGTGAAGGAAGGCACAACGGAAGCTATCAGGGAACATTCGACTATGGCACCAGAAATGCACATATCCGATGAAAAAACGACTGAACAGACACATGCACCTGGTTTCTCCGAAGAAAAGCAAACGACGCCGAAATCTGCGGAACCTGAACACGTACAAACGGCTACCGTTGGAGAAGCTGCAAAAGAACCTGAAGAACAAACTCTTAGTCCAGTATCTCCACAGATAGAGTCTTCTAGTCAAATACCTCCAGGGGAAGCGAAAGAAACTTCACCAGAAGTATTAAGCACTCCTATGAAAATCCCAGAGGAACAGGTAACCAAGATTCCATCTACGGAACAGCCGATCGAAGGGCAGGCTCCTGAAGAGCAACCTTCAAGTACTGCTGCGAGTGGGGAACAGACAGTTGTAACGACAGAAAGAGTCCAAGAAGAACAAACTTCTGTTGGAATTGAAAAGGAAGCTTCTACCACGATAAGGCCAACGGCTGAACAACCATCTATTCCATCTGCTGAAGAAGGAGAAAAATCTGTAGAAGGCGAAGAACAAATAACTGTTTCACCTGCAGTTTCAGAAGAAGGTATAAGCAAGGAACCTGAAGTTCCAAGCTCTTCCATATTGCCAGAGGTTGCAGTGACGGAAGGTCAACCTTCAGTGAATGTTGAAACTCAAGGACCACTAGAAGAAGGCACTACTGTGGGCCCAGAATCGGTAACACAGCCCGAAGAAGAAGGAGTAAAGGAAACTAAGCCAGCTGAAGAGGAAAAACTTGCTCAACCTGAACAACCTACTACAGAAGGTGGATTACAGACAGTCCAACCTGGTGAAGCAGAATCTGAAAAAACATTCATACCACCTATTGAAGTGTCTACTTCACAAGAAGGTGTAACAGCAGGCGAAGAACATGAAGTGACTCATGTAGAACAAGGAACTGTTAAACCAACTGAAGGTGAAACACCCGTAACGGCAGAAATGGAAATGACTGCGCCTAGTGTGACTAAAGAAGGACCAAGTAACACAGAAGCACTCGAAGAAGGAATAACCACGCCATCAATCATGGGTGCAGAAACTACAAAGGAACCAGAAACTGTTTCAGAAACTATTCCGGAAGAAGAACATGCCGTACCCGAAAGAACTGAACAACCTTTGATATCTACTACTTTAGCAGAAGACGGAATTAAGGAAACCGTAGTTAAGATGACTACGACAACACCCAAAGAACAACCTGTGAAGTTACCCGAAGAACAGTTACCAAGTTCTACCGAAGCTGCTGAGGTAAGCACTGAGCAACCCTCAACATCCACTAAAACGGAGGAAACGGCAGAAAAAGAGGGGGTCACTGAAGAACAACTAAATATCGTTAAAATGAAACCTGAACAGGAAACTACACCGCTACGTGAGGAGCAACAACCTGAAGTAACACCAGCAGTGAAAGAAACAGCAGGATCTGTTTCACCTGTTGCAGAGGAAACTACGCCATCGTCGGAAGCTACGCAATCTCCTGTATCTCTAGAAACTATTACAGAAGCAACACCTGAAGCTAGTACAGTGAGAACAGCTCCTGAATTGACTTCTCCTCAAACACAAACCGAACAACCTTCAATTGAGAAGGAAACTGGGGCACCTGCTACTGAAGAAGTGACTACAGAAGGAATTAAGGAACAACCTATTGAACCAGAGGAGCAACCGGGTACCGAAAAAATAAATATAGCTCCCGTTGGAGGTGAAGTGCCTGAAATTACAGTGCCAACTGAAGTTCCAGAAGAGGTAACAAAGAAAGAAGAGCAAGTGACAGAATCTGTGGTACCATCTGAGGAAACTACAATGCCAGTTGTAACTGTGGAAGAGCAGAAACATGAAGAGGGAACTGAGGAACCAATTGTAAAAGAAGGTGTGACACCTGCAGAGACGACCAAAATGCCTGATATGGTAGGTGAAGGAATCACAGCTACAAGAAAAGAACAACCTAGTGCAACACTACCTCCAGTTGTAGAAATCAGTTCCACAGTAGCACCAGAAGAAATTCCAATTTTGCCAGAACAGACAACAGAAGGGCAGAAACCTCTAACAGAGGGCGTAACAGAAGAGACGGGTACGACTGTGCCGAGTGAAATGGGTTCAACTCCTGAAGAACAATCTTCTGTGACGGAAGAAAAACCGGAAGAAGAAATGACGCAGAAGACTGGTGTACCGTCTGTAGAAGAAGCAACAGGCAAACCAGTGGAAGAAGCAGCAACGGGCAAACCAGCAGAAGAAACAGCAACGGGCAAACCAATCGTAGAAGCAGCAACGGGCAAACCAGTTGAAGAAGAAGCAACAGGCAAACCAGCGGAAGAAGTAGCAACGGGAAAACCAGTGGAAGAAGAACAGACGCCTGTTGAAGAGCAAACAACTCCAGTAGAGGAAATCGTAAAGGTAACTGAAGTTGTTTCTAAGGCACCTGCCGAGGTTGGTTCTACTGAAATACCAGTGAAGATAGCGACTGAAGAAACAACAGAACAAGGACTATCTGCAATACCAGAAAAAGCACTTCCTACCGAAGGACCAGTGCAAGCTGCTGAAGGTCCTGTGCAAGCTACCGAAGGACCGGTGCAAGCTACTGAAGGTCCGCAAGTTCCCCTTCAAGCACATGAAGAAGAATATTCGACCGAAGCTCCCGAAAACGTAACTCCTGCAGGAGAAGTCCCGACACCAGAAGTTCCAGAGAAAGAGATTCCAACTGCAGTACCAGAAGAAGCAATTACTACCGAGGCAGCAGAGAAAGAACTTCCTAGCGAAGTTCCAGAGGTAGCTCAACCTACCAAAGCACCAGAAGAGGTTCTTCCAGAAAAGGAGAAACCGACCGAGACAACAGGGAATGCTCTTCCTGAAGAAGAGAAGCCTGGCGAGGTAACTGAAAAGACACTTTCTGAAGAAAAGAAACCCGCTGAAGTAACTGAGGAGATTCCTGAAGAAGGAAAGCCAGTCGAAGCTGAACAGCAAACAGTTGAATCCGAAAAAGAAGTTCCTCAAACTACTGAAAGTATTTCATTCCAAGAACAATTCCCTGAATTAGTATCAAGTTTGACTAAAATTCCTCAAGTTGAAGAACACACAACTAAGCTTCCTATCACTGCCGAAGAAGAATTATCACAATCAACTACACCAGTAGCTAAAGCTGAAGCAACATCTCTTCAAGAAGGAGAAGTTCCAGTGTCTCCAGTTGAAGCTACGGAAGCTACAACAAAGGAAGCTGAACCAAGTCAACCTTCAGAGGAAACACAGCCTGCGGTAACAGAAGCACAGCCTGCTGTAACAGAAGCACAGCCTGCTGTAACAGAAGCACAGCCTGCTGTAACAGAAGCACAGCCTGCTGTAACAGAAGCACAGCCTGCTGTAACAGAAGCACAGCCTGCTGTAACAGAAGCACAGCCTGCTGTAACAGAAGCACAGCCTGCTGTAACAGAAGCACAGCCTGCTGTAACAGAAGCACAGCCTGCTGTAACAGAAGCACAGCCTGCTGTAACAGAAGCACAGCCTGCTGTAACAGAAGCACAGCCTGCTGTAACAGAAGCACAGCCTGCTGTAACAGAAGCACAGCCTGCTGTAACAGAAGCACAGCCTGCTGTAACAGAAGCACAGCCTGCTGTAACAGAAGCACAGCCTGCTGTAACAGAAGCACAGCCTGCTGTAACAGAAGCACAGCCTGCTGTAACAGAAGCACAGCCTGCTGTAACAGAAGCACAGCCTGCTGTAACAGAAGCACAGCCTGCTGTAACAGAAGCACAGCCTGCTGTAACAGAAGCACAGCCTGCTGTAACAGAAGCACAGCCTGCTGTAACAGAAGCACAGCCTGCTGTAACAGAAGCACAGCCTGCTGTAACAGAAGCACAGCCTGCTGTAACAGAAGCACAGCCTGCTGTAACAGAAGCACAGCCTGCTGTAACAGAAGCACAACCTGCTGTAACAGAAGCACAACCTGCGGTAACGGAAACACAGCCTGGCATTCCAGAAGCACAACCTCCTACCAAACCAGCAATCGAAACTTCAACACAAGAAGCAGAAGAACGCCCAGGAACTGAAAAGGCTCCTGAGGAAGAGCACGCAGTTTCTGTGTCAACGGAACAGTCCCAAGAAAAGAGTACAATTGAACCACCGCTTCCTGAAGAGCACAAAGAAGGAGAAACTCACGAGCTGCCAACGGAACCATCGGTTGAATCAGCCGAGGAAGAAGAAGAAGAGGTAGAAGAAGCTGCATTGCCGGAAGCACCTTCGACAACCGAGAAGGAAGAGCCATCTGAAGGTCAACTACCTAGTGGATTTGGCGAGCATCTTCCACCAGTGAATCACACACTTGAAACCACTGAACGACCTGTACAACCAAGTCTATACGAACGACCTACGAGTACTCTAGCTCCGCAAGTTCCTGAATATCCTGATCAATCGGTAACTGGAGAAGACAATCCACACTTCCCTCCACATGGTGGCAGTTACTTGAGTCCCGACGAAGATTACGACGAAGATGATCAAGCTATTTACGGACCAGGAACTTGCCGATATGGCGGCAAAGTTTATGTATCGGCGCAACAAATTCCAAGAGATGATCCATGCGACTTCTGCTTCTGCTTCAGAAGCGACATCATTTGTCTGCAACAAAGCTGTCCACCGCCGATCCCAGGTTGTCACGAGGAACCGATCAGTGGATTCTGTTGTCCAAGATACGAGTGTCCTGTGTCAATGGCTACGTCGCTTAATATCACCACAACGACAACCACGACGACAACCACGTTGCCACCGCACTTCCACGCTCATGCATATAAGGGAGCTGCGAAACGAAGCGGCTGTCAAATTCGCGGACAAGCGTATCGTGTTGGAGAAGTTATTAGGTCCGCATCAGGACCTTGCCTTCAGTGCACGTAAGTTTAAAGTCTCTTTTTAAGTAATCATTATCATTTAAGGCTACTGTGTGTAAGTTATACTCAATAGGAATTACATATATCCCAAAAATATTATATTTTAATCAAATTCTATGTCATATTCTAGACCGTATGTTTGCGGTTAGATTCTTTAGGAATCAAGTGACATACTGGCATGATATTAAATTATACTTCCTATTTAAAAATAACTACATCCGAAAACTCTACATTCTAACTATAGCAATATATGGCATCAAATGGTCCAACTACCAATCACTATCAAAAGTAAAAAAAAGCCACGAGCGAAATACTCATTGTCTTATAAAAAATTATCCTCAAACCAGTAGTTTATCTCGAGCATATTCACAATCCCTGATTTTCAATGTAATCGTATCACGAAGAGTAATCTAATGAAAGTCTAATTGTTTTATAATCCGTGAATAATGAGAATTTTGCAATAGGTGTGACAATAATATTAATGAAACGAATGATTTTGAATTTCAGTTGCGGTGGTGATGGCAACATGAAATGTGATCCACGAGTGTGTAGTCCGGAGCCGATGTTGAGGCAAATGATCGCAGCAGCTACGGCCAGAAGGAGGAGATGAGCCGACCAACACGATCCCGGGGATCCGTCGAACAAACATACGCACAAGGAAGTCTAGAGCAGGATCAGTGTTGTATAAAAGTGAATTAAAAATATTCTAAACTATCTAAATGTCGCGGAAACACAGACTGTAATGTGCTTCGGCGATCACGAACTGAGTGGCCAAAACCGTAAACGTTTATATTATAATATTATATTATGTTATATAAAGAGAAAAAAAAGAGAGAAAGAATGAGATAGAGATAGGAATAGAGAACGAGAGAGAGAGTGAGAGAGAGCGCGAGAGAGGGAGAGATCGATGAGCACGTGTAATGGAAGGGACTAAAGGAACAAAAAAGAAAGAAACGAAGAATTTAGCTATGTAAAACAAGGCTCGTTTTTAGTGCCAAACGTGAAACAGAAACAAGCAAACCAGTGGAACGAGAAGGGATATTAGTGGAGAAATACTTCGTGATAGTTCCATGTCTTACGCCATTATCTTTTTTCTTTTTTTTTTACACGTAAAAACGATGGTTATAAAGGAAGAGAAAAAGCGATTAATGAAAAAAAAGTTGCTGAACGTACGAGACTTATGACTGTGCCTTCGTCAGTGCCGACAACAGCGGCACTAAACTTTCGTTCCGTGACAGCCAGACACGGCGCTAATTTTAGCCACGATCATCGTCGTTGAAGCTTGATATTCTCGAGGAATCGTCGTTAGGAATTAAATGTGGTGATGGGATACAAACGATAAATGCGTTTCAATCGAACGCGACCAAAAAAAGAAATAAATAGATAAAAAAGCGAAGAAAATATACGAACCTTGGTACATACGAAACGATTTCCTATACAGTGACATTGTAACAGCAATATCAGAGATTGTACGAGGGATAACCACGAGATCTTTTTCTTAGCGTAAAGCCTTGTTGATTTCCCGCGTACGATCTAATGCGTGAGAATTCGATTCACGCGACAAGAAATGTAAGCGCCACGTAGCACATTGCTCTTGTAATACCACTGTAAAAACTTGAACAACGATGATCCAAGGCGATCTGCCGTACGATCGCGATAGATCCAAATCGTTTCATGGCTGACACGCGTCGTGCGCTAACGATCAGTCCACATCTACTCACGTCTGCTGACGTTCACGCGTGTTCGAATGCGATCGATAAGATACTAGAAATATCAACGCCGCAGATCCATGACAAACTTTCCAGTCAATAATTTCTTCCAACTATTTTTTACGCAACAACATTCCTCTATAGAATTTTTATAATATCCTTCGTCTTCCTATAAATCACGAACGCGATAATACACCGAATGTATAAAGTTGGTGGGAAAGACGTATTAAAATTATAAAATCCACTAACCATTAAAATTTAAACACACCATGTCAACTAAAAATTATTTCTTGCGATATATTTCAAAAAGTTTTTACAATATGCATATAATTTAGAATATAGATTCCAGACATACGTAACTTGTTATTCTTTTGATACATAAATTTGAAATATCATTTTATAATGTTTAGAGTTTGAGATTCAAGGCGACGTCAGTCGTCGTTTAATATATCGATTCCACCAATTGTACATACGAGTAAATTCCTTTCCTTATCGCGATAGATCCGTGTAATAAGCTAAGATCGTATTCAAGCACGCGCGCCTGTATGTGTGCGTGCGTCTGTGTGCATGGTACATTTATATGTTTTAAAGATAAAATGAAAAGAAAGAAAAAGCCACAAAGACAAGACGAAAGGTACGCGTATCTCAAAGCTCAAACAGCGGCTCGCGCGGAGGACCGAACGCGAATTTGCTTCTCCGGCGAGCTGGCGTCATTATACATATATATATAAATATATATATAAATATAAATATATACATTTATACGATTCTTTATACACACTGTACCCCCTAAAATAATAACACTTAACGATGTTCTATACGTTTGTATGAAAGCATATTAATTATATCTATACGATGATTGTTCTTCGTTCTCTAGTCTCAAAGTGTCGCGGGGATTGTGGTTCTACGATATAACGTGTCCACCACTTCACTCCTGCGATTTATCCGTAAACAGTCAATTAGAATTTGATACCCATTTTACTAAGCCATACCGCGTGGAAAACACCCGAGGAACAAGCGGAAAGTGTTCGTTCACATATACAAGGAGTCGAATGTGGAACACATTGTCAGAAACGCTTTGAGACTCCGGAACTTGGGGCCGTTTAGGTGTAATAGAACGAACGCTATTATTATCACAGAAAGTACCGCGCAAGATAGCTGTCCCTGTAATTTATAATACGAACGATAGACCACACGTATTAAAGTTCTGTCTTCCTGAAAAAATTCTGTCTTCAAGCGAATCCCGTCGAATACTTTTCTGTATATGCGTTCGTTAATTTAGCTCGTAATTTTCGCGGACAAACAATCGAACGTGAAACATTCGCGAGTAAACGCGGTCTGAAAAACACGAGTATGAATAGAGAAGAAATTTCTGCCGGAAGGAATTAGGAGAACGTAGTGTAACCATAGTGCTTCCAATGGCAACTCGATCGTGATATAAATGGCCATATTATTACTGTCACTGTCTCGAAGATTATCTTTACATACGTAAACACATCCGATAATAAAGTTAAAATACATAGAATTCACGAAAACCTTCTTTATATCTAAACTGTCTATGCGTCGATTTAGTCCAAAGACGAATATTTAAGGAGCATTTAAAATAAAGTAGAATCTTTGTACATGAACCAATGCATGACTAATGAGATTAAACATTCAACATGAACGATTTGGTTGGTGATGTAGAATCCAGGTTGGTCGATTGACACGTTCAATGCATATCTGAATTGACCTACTTTTACAATATGTACATAAGGAAATTGTACGTTTTTTAAGATATTTTCCTAATAATTCATATTAAGCAAATACTTGAATTTTACGATATAGAAATAGATTTTCTAAAATAATTATTTGTGTATAATAGTTACATGAGAAAAGAAATCATGTTAAAAGTCACAAAATTTGGAAAAAATTTTTTTGGGATAGTCTCGCGAAGAACGCATACATAAAGTTTTATGATACCGAAATAGGACTCAAATGAAAATGATTCATTAGCATATGGCATTACAGGTAGTGGAAATTGAATCATCAATGAACGTATTAATGATATATTTTTTATAATTAAAACACGGTCGGGTGGCCACCTTGCGCTATCTATTCGAGGAATGAAAGTCTTTATTGCTATTCATAAATGCAGTCCATTAGGATAGTACGATAGCACAATATCTTTCTATAAAAAAGTTGAAGCTAACAGAGCTCGACGATCTTCAAATATAATTTCCCCTGCGATTAAACGTGAACACGTTTCTCGCGTACGAACCAATCGTAATTTCAGTACTTACGCGCAATCGAATCGGCTCTTTTTTAAACTAACGATTTTAGTAATTAGTCGAGCCTAGTATTTATCTTAATATCCACTCATAGCGATAGTATATTATACGGGCTAAGATGCAACAAGGTCGTAATTTGAATCGTCGAATAGTGTTATCGACTAATGTTTTAGGACTGTAGGTAGAACCACATAGAACCCTATACTAAATTCAAAATTACACAATAAAAACAAATGACGAACTATGACTAATCTATTTCATTTATTAAGTAGACAATTAAATGACTTTTTAATAATTAGAAATTAGATTATTATTAATCATCATCTAATATTATTAAATAAAAAGCTAAAAATACAAATTAGTACTTTAATATATTAAAAAACAGAGGGATTTTAACATATGTAAATATAAATTTTTATTCCATGTATTACATACATATACATACATGGCCATAACAGTGGGTCCTTATGTGGTCATATTTCTGTCGATTCCTTCGTCTCAGCACCATCATTACTGACTAATGAATACTGTCGACTACTGATAAGTTTCACAATCTCATTATATGGTGGCTCGTACTATACCGAAGGTAAAACGAGTATCGAGTTGTTACGACGGTACGTTTATATGATATAGATGTGTAACTGTAACGTAAGATATATTAATTATGATGAACACATAGGATGCATGTAATTAATTAACGACTGCGTGCTCAGCGTTGGTAAAAATCTTCCCCGTCGTATCACAATCGATCAATCCGTCGCGGCTGACGAACGTGTTCTTTGACAACGCAAACGAGCCACGCACCTTTATACATATTATATATATAAATATAGATATATATAAATATAAATACATGATATTTATACACAGAATGACCAATTTTTATCTGGTGCCAATAATCTTCTAGCGCGAACGTTTACCGCGTTGCGATAGTTCTTCGATTATAGAAATCGATTTTCAATGGAAGCCGAATTGTAGATTAGAATTGATCATGCTGTGAATAGCGAGACGAATATTAACTATGCACAGTACGCGAATATACTCAAGATGCTCGTGATAAATTTCTCGGATATTTCTTCTTTCTGTTTTCTCTTCTTTCATTTCGTTCGTTCGTTTACTTTCTTCCTGCATCCTCTATTTGTTTCATTTTTGTAATCAATTACGAACGACCACGATGACAGTTATCCCCATTATTATCAGCATAATTATCCATTATTCGCCACGTGTAATAATATGTGATACATAAAGAAACGAGCGAGCCGAGGGTATCTCGGTGGTTCTGACTGTATGGAAGTAGGTTAGATTTGACAGTACGTGCTAGTATAAAGTGTCCTTTTATATAGAATAAACGATTTTGTATGTCTAATTTCGATCTACTCTCTGATTCTCACTACCTTCCCTTACAAGGGGATATTAATGGTTCGAGTTAAAGAATATTTGAATAAAACATTATTCAAAAATGATATAACATAATTGGTTGTATGTAGTAATTATTAAAAAATTTGCTGATTTATTTCACACACCTGGTTAATAGTTTTGCTAAAAATAAACAGCCAGGAAATAGCAGCTAAGTTCAGTTACTTCTTCTTTGTTACTCCTGCCCACTTATTTTGTTTTCATTAAAATCGATCGTATTCCAGAAGTTTATGTTCGCGAAGTCGCTACTAGTTTCCATCTTTATGTTTTGCGGATTAGCTATATGAAGATATTGAAATTCTTTTTCATTGGGATCTAATGTTTGCCATTGAACATTGCCGGCACGTGGTTTACTGTATTTTGAAATTTGTATCAAGGATATATTTAAACAGCAAATTGAGATAATTAAAGAAAAAGTAAAAATTTAAAGTAACATACCCCTCTATAGCAAATGACGTGTAAAAATCGAGCAATATTTGTTGCATTTCCAAGTCATTCGGCCTCGAAACGTTTGAAATTCTAGTATCAAGCACAAGAAATGCATCATCTCCATGGCTTACACCTAATCCATCCGATGAATTTAAGAGAAAAATATTAACTTAATAAATACTAATAAGGTTTAAGCTCAGAAATATATAGTATAATAATATGAAGTAATAATAATATTAAATTTTACTAATACCATAATCTCGAGATTATAAAGTAACTTACCAAAGTTCTTGGTAGAACCACCACTCACAATTTCACTAAAACTATGCATAGATCTGTAACTGTAGTAATAAGTCCACACCGGACTTTTATTAATTTTCGCGTGCAAAATGACAGCTTTCTGCAAATCAACGCCGAACATCCGATCACCTATCATATGTGTCACCGACAATGATGTGTTACTGTCAATAGGTTTAGATCCCAAATAATACTTCCTAATTTTTTCTGCAACCTCTTTATGTTGATTAAGAGGAAGAGTATCGTTATAGTCAAGCAAATATGGTGCAATATTATCCCAGTCATCGTTCAACTGCTTCAACAGTTGATCATTACCAACAAATGCTACTCGAACAAAACTATGTATTTTACATGGCAGTACACATAGAATTAATACTATTATTGCATAAAATCAGACCTGCAGAGATGAATAATCCTTCTTCGCTAACTACTCCAGAAATCCAGGGAGCATCGTATGCTTCGCCACTAACGATAATATCGATTGGCGAACGAGTGATAAAAGGGTTGGGTCCATATTTGTCAACAACTGGTCCAAAAGGTACATAAGGATTCTGTGACTAAGATTCGAAACTTATATGAAAATAAATATAATTATAATTGTACAATATCAAGATGAAAAAATAGTAACAATTCAGCAGTTCGCCAGTAACTTGCGATATAATTCGCGCAGGGCGAGTTTGGAGACAATCGATCATTTCTTTTGTATTGCGTGTTGGACATCCTAAGGTAGCTGCGAATCTTCTAGCCTTGTCAGGAGCATATTTTGTCTGTGCCCAAGGAGTGAGTGCCACGCCACTTATCGATATTCCTCCTATATAAAATATAAGATATAAAATATACAATATAAAATATAAAATTTCTCTTGTATTAACTCAACAATAACATAAAGAAAAATAACCACATACTTTGGAAAAGACCAGTACTTAAGCGTGACAAATAATGATAATGGACGCTGGCAGCACCTGCACTCAAACCAAAAATAGTTATTTGGTTCGGATCGCCGCCAAAATTTCTAATATGATTATACACCCAACGCAAAGCCACGTTCTGATCTTTCAATCCCATATTTCCAGGTACTACACTGTCGCCGGTACTGAGAAAGCCTTAAACAAACATATTTTCTGGATCTTGTTATAAGTATAACGTGTAAATACTTTTAGCTTTTCGTGATCGAAAGGTCTACCAATTTGAGTAAACCAACAAAATCAATTAAAAATCAAGCGGCTTTTAAATTTATTAAATTAATTAAATCTTTTAAATTAGTTGTCAACTAGTACTATTAATACTAAATTTTTTGAATAAAACCTTTCCATTATTGTTTTTACCGAAGGATGCTAGACGATAATTAAACGTGACCAGGATAACATCACGGTCCATTACAAGCGTTTCGTTAACTTCGTTTCCGCTACCAAACTGATAAGCTCCTCCGTGAATCCAAAACATCACTGGTAACAAGGATTCATTGCCATTCCTAAACGGTCTATAAATATTCATATATAAGCAATCCTCACATCCCGTAACTTTGTCTCCATTTTGAGGGGTAGATAATATAACATATTGGGTGCAAACAGAACCTTTCTCCACGGCGGGTAACTCATTTATCCATTCTTGCACGGGCTGCGGTGGCTGTAATTTCACAATATTCTATTTAAGTATCGCGTTTCGTTAATCAAAAGGATTTTAGTTTCTTGACATAATCTTCCACGATTGTTCTACGTACTTTGAACCTAAGTTTTCCAACGGGCGGTTGCGCATAGGGAATACCTTCGTACGCCTCGTATTTTCTACCATGTCGGGAAACCTTATAATATCCGCGTATGTCCCCGAGAGACGTCCTGACTCTGGGTATCCGCTCATTCTGCCACGAAAAGTTCACAAATCCCAGCAGGAGCAAAGCGATAACTGATAGTTCCATTGTGTTCCTTTTGAAGTTACGTACATATCTGATCGGTAGCAAGCGTTTATAACTTCCACACAACTGCCGATAAGCATATGAAAATGCACTTTTTAAATTAACGATATGTTTTTACCGATTTACCAATATGTAAAGCATGTACATGAATAAATGTATAAATAGTATAGTATAGTAGTATATTTCTAATATATAGTATATTTTTTACTAAAATATAGTATCAAAATGTATTATACTTAAATTGAAAAATGATTGAGCAATTACCTATAAATGATTGAAATATTGTTCTGCCGTGATGCACAAGCCAAGAAATAAATACCGCGGATGCATAATCTTTCCTAAAGCGAGCATTTTCTCCTACTATCGCCATTTTTCCGGCTGGCAATGCATTCGTTGGAGCCAAGTCGCAATTTTGATGTGAAACTTTCACCGGAATTCGGCTAAGTACCGTACAATACTATTGATGCAAGGTAAATATTTAGCGCTCGCATTCTGATGATAATATAAATACATCGGAAATATAAGAATTTTCGTTCTCTGTATTTGAAGTTGAGAAAACGAACATTCGATTCTAGCAGAAAATAGGAAAAAAGGCATAGCGGAATTATTGGGAAAAATTAAAACATTTCTTAATATACACATATACACTTGATATATACACATTTCATATATATATATATATATATGTATATGAAATTAAACACGAATAGCGTGAAATTTTTAAATCTTGGACACTTCCACTAAAAAAAAAAACGAAATATGAAGGAAATGATCCAACTACTCACTGCTAGAAAATATATATTAATTTAAATAAATTGCCTTGATTGGTTTTATTACCAATATAATATCATTTAAAAACCATAACGTATTGTGTGCAAACTAAACTTTTATTTATAGTGGGTAGTTCGCCTTCCCACGGTTTTACAGGTTGAGGTGGCTAAAAGTTCGTAGTATATTATTATTATTTTATTACGTCATAGTGAATAAGATTTTATTTTCTTACAGACATTGTTCGACATACTTGGAACCTAAACTTTTTAAGTGGAGGTTGCGCATATAGGACGCCTTCGTAAGCTTCATATTTCCTGCCATGGCGAGATTCCCTATAGCAACCTCGAATTTTCCCCAGAGACGTATTGGCTATTAGAGGCTGCTCATCTTGATACAAAAAATTCACAAACGCTAAGAAAAGTGAAACGGTCGGTAGTTTTATCGTGTCTATTTTAAAACTGTTTTAAAACGCTCGGTGCGACGGTCAACCTTTTATTACCTTTGCCATAACTTCCGATAAGCATGTGTGAATGTTTTTTCAAACCAGTGCTGTATTTTCTGTATCGGTTATTAAAAAAAAGTAAGCATTAAAAAAATATGTCTTTGGTGTAGATAATATTTTACAATAAAATCTTGTTAGATTTCAACGTACTGCGTATAGATTCACTGAAAAATCATTGAACAGACATTTATAAATAACTTATGTACTATTTATTTTCCCAAACCTTTACAACGTAAAACATATCTAAAGGCCTCTCTTATAAGAGAAAAAATATATGGTTACAGAACTGAAACATTATTAGTATAAATTAATTATAATAAATCCATTACGAATTCGACTGAAACTTAAATCAAAAGACAAACCTACTTACATTGCAGATTGGTAATACTATAGGAGAAAATCAAACAAATAATTAAAATAGATAAAGCGATAGACGTAAGAGGTGAATAATTCGTGCATTCAACATAAAAATAAAGCTTCAATTTCAATTAAACCTATATCTTTCTCAACCTATCTCCATAACTAACATTACGTGACAAGCGTGTTTTTCTTTTTACATCTTCAAATGCAAAAGTTTAAAAAATACGAACTCTAAATGTTAGAATTTAAATGCGAGTAAACATTGGAAGACAACATATTATCAGGAAAGATTAGTATAATTGCGCATTACTGTAATCGGAAATATCCAGAAATCCAAGATAACGTACATGGAATATCCAAGAAGTGTATATAAAATATCCATTAGTTTCAAAACATATTGTTTTATTTCATATTGATGCAGACCAATGTCAAATGTAGTTTTTTCTCCTTGTAATTATCTTTGACTTTCCTAATTATAAATAAGTAGATTTAACAAATTAAACGGTAATATACATATGAATATTGGAAAAACTAATCTATTTTATTATGAAAATATGCATATTTTTCAGAATGATTCAATATAATCAATATAAATATCTATAGAACTACTTCATTATTTAGAGTTATAAATATATTTGCACCACCGTGTTTGTTTATAAAATCAAATTTATTAATAATGTATTAATATAAAATATGTTCTTTATGACTAAAAGATAAGACATTATACATACGTATATTTACTTTACTTCTTCTTTCACTAAAATTATTGAGGCAACCATTAATTTTCGTGAGATTTTATTGTATCCCAAAATTTCTTTTGCGCAAAATTTCCATCAGATTCCATTTTCACATTTTTTGCATCAGCTATGTGTAAATAATGAAGATTATCCTCGCCAGATTTTAATGACTGCCATTCAGCATCACCGACACGTGGTTTTCTAATATAATTATAAATTCTTTGTCAACGTGATATTCAAACAATAAAAATTAATCATATATAAATTATATTTCCAATCTCACGCATACCCTTCAATAGCAAAAGAAGTGTAAAAATCAATTAAAAGTTGCTGCATTGCTAGGTCCTCTGAATTTGTCATATTCGAAGCGTCTTTATTAATCACAAGATAAATATCGTCTCCATGGGCTACCCCTATTATTCATTCATTTTACATACATATATTACTCCACACATTTTTCTCTGCTGTTATAATAGAACTCTACTTATTTGAACTCGTTAAAGATATACAGCTCATATAATAAGAGTTCATTTCGGAGATATTTGTTCACAAACTTCTTCTTTATTAATTTATTACTTTTTGTTCACTCTAAGTCTACTGCTAATTTTCATAGAATAATATATTCTATTTATTAATATAAAAAAGCTGTTCCAATAAATGAAGTTCAGATAAATGAAGTTCTACTGTGATTATAGTAAATGGCGCAACAAAATTACCGAGTTTAGTTGTAAAGCTAAGGTCTTCTTTAATTTTGTATGTATAGTAATAACTCCACACTGGATTTTTGTTAACTTCCGCATGTAATTTAGCAGCTGTCGCCATGCCAACACCATATGATCGATCGCTGAGCATTTGTATCAGTGGTGCCACTGTATTACGGTCAATTTTTTTTGATCCCAAATAATACTTTCTGATTTCTTCCGCCACTTGTTTATGCTCGCAAAGCGAAATAGTATCGTTATAATTAATCAGGTATGGCGCGATATCGTCCCAATTATCATTTAGATATTTCAATAAATCATCGTCTTCAACAAAATCTGTGCAAGTAAAACTCTTATTTCAATAATATTTTAATAATATTAATAATTTCAATAATATTACTGTTACACGAAATCAGACCTGCAGCTTGAAATATTCCATCTTCGCCAACGACTCCAGTAATCCAGGGAACATCTTGAACCTCACCTGAAGTGATAATTTCAATTGGAGAGCGATTAATGAAAGGACTCGATCCTTGCTTCTCCACAACTGGTCCAAAAGGACTAGCAGGATTGTTCAACCAAACCTACAAACAGATTTTGTGATAATAATATCACATTTATAATACTATTCGATTGCAAAACGCAAATTAAAAACTACAGAGAAAGAACATCACAACAATTTCTATAATATATGTACTTAGTATAATATAAATACATAGTATCAAAAAAAGTTCAATCGTAAACACGTTAAACAGATAAAATTTCAATCTTGAAACTATACAATTTACCAAAAGCTTGTCGACGTTTTGTGATATGAGTCGTGGTGGACGCTTTTTTAAACAAGCAATCATTTTACTGCTACTATCAGTTGGGCACCCCACTGCCGCTGCCAATTTTTTAGCTTTCTCTGAAGCTCGTTTTGTTTGTGCCCTAGGATTAAGTGCTGTACCACTTATAGATATACCTCCTATGTAGTAGAAATTGCGAGAAAATATAAGTATCATACAGTGATATGCAAATTAAAGAGTAATACACTTATAAAGCATCTTTGGTCTGAATGAATAGCGTGCTGTTATGTATTGAACTACCACGCCAAAAATTTAAAAATTCAGCTGTTCAAATTAAAGTTACTCTATCAAATCGAACAACCTCCTTATGAACATTTTTCTCAATAATTCAAAAAATAATAGTCTGTGTACGTTTAAGTTGAACATATTGTATACGTACAGATATACTTAATAAACTTACTTTGGAATAGACCAGCACTCAAAGGTGACAGATAGTGATAATGAACGCTCATGCCTCCCGAACTGAAACCGATTAAAGTTACATCTTTCGGATTACCTCCAAAATTCTCAATATTGTCGGATACCCAGCGCAGTGCCATGCTTTGATCCTTTAATCCCATATTTCCAGATACTACATTGTCTCCCGTACTAAGAAAACCTTAGGACGAAATACTGAATTTAATTTGAACCACAAAGAATATCTTTTATAATTTATTATTCTTACCGAAAGGTCCTACACGATAATTAAACGTAACCAATACAACACTCTTATCCATTAAATGACTCTCGTCTAGATCATTTCCAGTACCAAATTGGTAGGCTCCTCCATGAATCCAAAACATTACTGGTAATAAAGTCTTAGTATTGTTTCTAAGTGATACATAAATGTTCATGTACAAGCAATCTTCACAGCCTGAGACTGTATCTCCGTCTGCACCGGGCTTAGTACGATACTGTATACAAATGGAACCCTTTTTCTTTGCAGGTAATTCGTATTCCCATTTCTGCACTGGTTTGGGTGGCTGTAAATTCATGAAGTACTTAAAATATTGACAAATATTCTATTATGATATACACATATTTTATTATATTATATACGTATATATTATATTACATAAAGTGCAGTTGAAAGTGTAGTATGTATTTTGATATTAATTCACATGAACGTTATCATTGTACGTACTTCGAACCGAAGTTCTCCAACAGGAATTTCTGCATAGGGTATACCTTCGTAAGCCTCGTATGTTTTCCCAGATCGAGACTCTTTATAATAACCACTGACGCTTCCTAAAACTGTTTTGGCTTTTGGAATTTGTTCATGTTGTAACGAGAGATTCGTAAATTCGAGGAGGAAAAATATCACTGATAATTTTATTGTGCTCATTTTGATGTTATACACAAGTAATTCGTCGTAATTCGAATATTCGTCTTTTATAGCATTTCTCACAACTTTTCAGCTGAATGTACATATACGCGCAAATACGTAATGTAAATATTCTTAATCTCGTGTTCGTTAATCAACTGTTGAAACAGTTGCCAAAAACGTTATATCGGACGTAAATATCTGTTTTTTTTTTATTTTTAAGATAGGAAACTACGTTTTGAAGAGTGAAGCATATGTTAAGGAAAATTTTAGTTTTAACTAATTATAAGATAGATATACACATTCTGTATATTGTTAAAATTTTTCGCGATTCACTTGAATCGTTCACTTCCCTCTTTTGGTTCTTTTTTTTTTTTTCAGGATGATATTCTTTCGCTGGTGAAAAATTGTCGCTATAAAATGTGGGGTTTGCCAAACAACAACAAAGCAAGTGTAGAAGAATTTAAAATTGTGTAATGGGTGCTATTTTATAACTCTTACTCTATTTCTGTTTTATCGCTATGATCTAATGGAAAATCGTACAAGCATTTTTCTTCGAGTATTTTTAATTGTAAAGGGGTATAATAAATAAATACGTATAGAATATGTTTGGAGTTAATGAATGTTATCGTAGTTTTTTCACGATTCATTTGAATTGTTACAATCCCTAACTACACATTGATTGATTCCAAGAAGAACTTGACATTTTATTTTATTACTATAATCATTCGTTACTGTAACGAAGAAATTTAGAAGATCTAGTATTTTTAAAAGAATTTGTCAAGTAGATACATTTGAAAAACATGTCGGTGCCTCTATATCTGTTGAATTGAATTCAACAGAAAAATGAAGCAACATAGACTAATTTTTTTCTAATTTTATAACGAATCATTCAGCAAAAATCATATTTTAAAGTCACGCTTTCAAATTCTGTGTAAGCATGCTTCTCTTTAAAAGTTCTCTTTAAAAGTCTAATCATCAGAATCGTTCTTAAAAGTTGTTCAGATCGCTGATAAATCTTCCTTAGGTTTAAGATTTTAATCCTCAATTGATATCCTAAGATGGTTTGGATGAAGTTATTTAATTCTAGTATATTCCAATATTATTTATACTTTACTCAATACCAAAAGTACTTATTATTAATTACACTTCACAATTATATCTGAATTATATTTCACTAATGTAACATACCATAGATGCATTGATATGAACACCTAGTCAGAGTCGCAGCCAATTAGCTCATATTATTTGCCATGTAATTAATAATTATAGCAGTTATACAGCTAATTGTTTTACAGTATAGTGATACAATTAGTAATTATATATCAAATAATACTGATTGCCCAGTATTACTACAAAAACTACTACTACTACAAATACTGAAAGCGAGCATAGTGACAAAGTATAAACAATAATGACTTCCCATGCTCTGGATGACCCAGAGGATGGGGAGCCATTAGTAGTTGCCCTCTTGAGTGGCAGTTTGCCGGGCCTCTTCGGCTTATAGCCTCCTCTTTCTTCGGGCGCAATGCCCGCTGAAACTTAAATCTAAGCTCGAGACTTCTAAATCGCAAACAAAAAGAAAACTTGAAGAAAGAACGAAACGACGTTTTGACAATTTCCTTCTTTTTCCTATCGAACGTTTATTTAGAAAATACTGCTATTTTTTTACGCTTAAAAATTATTATTAAGAAATTGGAACAAGTTTGAAAAATATTATTTAGTTGAAAATTGTGAGATATTTTTCGATAGCAAACAAATGCTCATGAATAACGTGAATGCAATGCAATCGTTTGCAAGAATTATATTGTTCGCAATTAGAATATATACTGTGAATTTTCGTTATTAGAATACGAAATATGCTGTTATTAAAATACGAAATATACATTCCACTAATACACTATAGCCGCGTGTTATAAATATTGAAAAATATTTGCAAGAATCCAAAAGTTCGCCACAAAATGTATTTAAAGAATACTGCACAAACGCGCGCGAAACCTTGTTTCGAGGTATTTGAATCCAACTGTTAGTTGCAAGTTTATGACGTTATAATTCAATTTGAAACAATAAGATAATACGCTAAAACTTCGTTTGAAATAAGAGAATGATTTTATACATCGGAAATATAACAATAATTCATTTAATGCTCTTTACGTCCATCTTAGTACTCCAAATAATTAAGAAATTATCTATTATGAAATATGTATCAGATATATTTTAAAATAAATATAAATTGTATATCAAACGTTACCCATGCTCGAATAAAAAGACAACAGTTTTATTCATATTGTACAAAGTTGTATTAGTTAAAATAAATTCATGGAATTGATCATTAAATTGACCATAACAATTTATCGGATTAATCATTAATAGTCTTTGCGTACATATGTTAATTTTCCCGTTACTTTTATATTATCTCTACTATCGATAAATAACTTTCACAAAAAATAACTAGCATTTAAAATAAATGTAATATCATTCGCGATCTTTCAAAAGAATCAATGGACTCACGCGACGCACTCCAGTGCACAAAATAACCGCAAGATTCAGTGGAAAAAAGAATAGATTTTTATATCTCGTTCCAAGTCAGATAAGTATCATAGTACAGAATGGGCTCAGAATGGATTCGACATAAGCAAGACACATGCCACGGTGTCCCACGGTGTCCCACGGTGTCCCACGGTGTCCCACGGTGTCCCGCGGTGTCCAACGGTGTCCAACGGTGTGAAACGATGTCTCACGGCGTTCCACGTCGTCCCACGGTGCAGTCCAGTCTAGATCATCCAAAATTCTTTTGGCGCATAAATATAGTAAATGCACTCCTATCAATTTTCTGATTTCAATACAGTTTGGTCTTTAACACAGAATATTGTAATATGAAGGAGAAAACAAGCTGTAAAAATTAAGTTAAAAGGGAAATCTGATAATATTGACAGAACTGATTGACGGCGTATGGACTTTTAAGAATAGTCTATCATAAAACACGAAAAATGTGGTAACTTATCATGTTTTCCCGAGTGCTCTTCTGTTAACGATATCAGAAAAATCACGAATGCCAGATAAGTATTTATATTACACTATCTCAATTAAAACCAAAAATTGAGGAAAAAGAACGAAGAGATATGCCATGCATAAGTTTCATTTATTCATCTCTCGAAAGAACTAACAAACCTACGCGACGTACCCCCGTACACGAGATAACGCCGAGGTTCAGCGGAAAGCCCAAGAATTGACCGTAACTCGATTCCTGTTTCGCCGTTCGAAACTTACACGAGTCGCGGTGGATGGCGCCGACCGATGATGCTAGTGATCCACGGGTATTTCAGCCGTGGATCCAGCACATAGGCCAGCAACTTAACACACTCCAACTGAACATGTGAAACCAGGGGAGGGACGTGAAATTGCAGGTCCCTGACCGAGTACCAAAGTACCAATCGGACAGGACTGCAGATCCACGACTGAATCCCCAACAGATTCGCTAGCATCACCGGCGCGACGACAACTCCCGCGATCCGATGCGAACGTCGAGCAGTCGTCGAGCAGTCACCAAGACAGAGGTGTCCTTGGGGCGACTTACGAATCCAAAGAGTTGTCCAGTGCACGTTGACCAGCACGTACGCGGAATACGCGCGAGCGAGTACGTCACGCTACGGTTTGAAAGAACTGAATGATCGCGAACCGATAAATCGCGAGTACGATAAATACTGTGTGCTAATCGAGTGAAGGGAGACGAGATTTTTCTTTTTTTCGTTCTAAAGTGGATAAATGTCGTTGTACAGAATGAGCTCACAATGCACTTAACATAGGTATCTACCTTACGATTAATTAAGACTAAAACGTACGCATCCCACGGCGTCCCACGGCGTCCAACGGCGTCCAACGGTATCCAACGATGTCCAACGGTGCCCAACGATGTCGGCGTCCAACGGCGTTCAACGGCGTCCCACGGTGTCCAACGTCGTCCCACGGCGTCCAACGTCGTCCCACGGTGTCCAACGGCGTCCAACGTCGTCCCACGGTGCCCAACGTCGTCTCACGGCGTCCAACGGTGTCCCACGGTGTCCAACGATGTCCAACGATGTCCCACGGTGCAGTCCAGTCTAGATCATCCAAAATTCTGTTGGAGGCTTTTGGAGACCCAAACTGGACCGACGGTATCCCACGGTGTCCAACGATGTCCAACGGTGTCCAACGGTGCAGTCCAGTCTAGATCAACCAAAATTCTTTTAGAGGCTTTTGGTGATCCACACTGGACCGACGATCTTCCACGTTGCAGTCCAGTCTAGATCATCCAAAATTCTTTTCGTGGCTTTTAGTGATCCATACTGGATCAATAGCGTCCCACGGTGTCCCACGGCGTCCCACGGTGTCCCACGGTGTCCAAAGTGGTCCCATGGCGTCCAACGTCGTCCCACGGCGTCCAACGTCGTCCCACGGCGGCCAACGGCGTCCCACGGCGTCCAACGGCGTCCCACGGCGTCCAACGGCGTCCAACGGCGTCCCACGGCGTCCAACGGCGTCCAACGGCGTCCCACGGCGTCCAACGGCGTCCAACGGCGTCCCACGGCGTCCAACGGCGTCCAACGGCGTCCCACGGCGTCCAACGGCGTCCAACGGCGTCCCACGGCGTCCAACGGCGTCCAACGGCGTCCCACGGCGTCCAACGGCGTCCAACGGCGTCCCACATACTGAATTATTGTGCAGTGTTTGTACTTATCGATATAGTGGTTTTCCAAAAGTTAATCAGCTGATTAATATGTGAAAACGATTACATCAGTACAAACATTGTACAATAATTCGCAACCGTACTGGCAACAT